ATTCCATGTATCCTAGTGTTCTATGTATTTGGAAGAAGTGGGCTTTCAAAGCTGCTCTCCAAGGTGCTGAAGTCATTTGGGACTCCAAAGTAGAATCCTAGAATCCTAGAGCTGGAGGAGACCTCATGGGCCATCCAATCCAACCCCATTCTGCCAAGAAGCAGGAATATTGCATTCAAATCACCCCTGACAGATGGCCATCCAGCCTCTGTTTAAAAGCTTCCAAAGAAGGAGCCTCCACCACACTCCGGGGCAGAGAGTTCCATTGCTGAACAGCAGTCACAGTCAGGAAGTTCTTCCTCATGTTCAGATGGAATCTCCTTTCCTGTAGTTTGAAGCCATTGTTCCGCATCCTAATCTCCATGGAAGCAGAAAACAAGCTTGCTCCCTCCTCCTCCCTGTGGCTTCCTCTCACATATTTAAACATGGCTATCGTGTCTCCTCCCAGCCTTCTCTTCTTCAGACTAAACATGCCCCGCTCTTTAAGCCACTTCTCATGGGGCCTGTTCTCCAGACCCTTGATCATTTTAGTCGCCCTCCTCTGAACACATTCCAGCTTGTCAATATTTCTCTTGAATTGTGGTGCCCAGAATTGGACACAATATTCCAGGTGTGGTCATTACCACACAAATAGAGGGGTAGCATTACTTCCCTAGATCTAGACACTAGGCTCTTATTGATGCAGGCCAAAATCCCATTGGCTTTTTTTGCCGCCACATCACATTGTTGGCTCATGTTTAACTTGTTGTCCACGAGGACTCAAAGATCTTTTTCACACGTCCTGCTCTCGAGCCAGGCATTGTCCCCCATTCTGTATCTTTGCATTTCGTTTTTCCTGCCAAAGTGGAGTATCTTGCATTTGTCCCTGTTGAACTTCATTTTGTTAGTTTTGGCCCATCTCTCTAATCTGTCAAGATTGTTTTGAATTCTGCTCTTGGGTGTGGTTTGAATTCTTCTTTGGTGATTTCTCCCTTTTTCCACTTCTTGTGCATGTCTCTTTTGTGTTTTAGCACAGTTAGAAGTTCTTTGGACATCCATTCTGCCCTCTTTGCACTTGTCCTATTTTTTCTCTTTGTTGGCACAGTTTCTAATTGCGCCTTGAGTATTTCACTCTTGAGAAATTCCCATCCATCCATAATTCCCTTGTCTTTTAGTATATATACTTTTCATTCAACCCTCTCTCTCTCACACACACACACACACATGAGGATTGAATGAAAAGTAATGCCTCCATCTTCATAAAACTCCCATTCTTGCAGAAGTAACTGACTTTTCATTCAACCTTCATACGTGGGGCTCCAAAGTCCTGTAGATCAGGACGATTTTTGAACAAATGGAGAGAATTGTGGTTTGACCTTCGGGAGATCAGGGTTGAAATCCCCATTTGGACAGGGAAAAGCACTGGGTGACCTTGGGTGATCCACACTCTCTGAACCTACCTTCCTCCACAACAGAAAGGAGAATCGTACTCATAATTTGCTAAATATTTATAGCCCCATCTACTCCCGGCCTTCAGAAGTGAGACTTTGGGTTTTCTGGAGCTGAGATGGTGCGGCCTGTCCAAAGTCACCCAACGGGTCTCTAAGGCTGAGCAGGGATTCCTTGCATTCAGGTGGAATCAATATCCTTTCCTGCAATTTGAATCCAGCAGCTCCATTGTGCCCTCATCTCTAGATCAGCAGAAAACAACTTTGTTTCTCCTCAATGGGATACCCTTTTAGATATTTAGCACTTCACCACACTAGAGGATGAATCCACTTTACAAAGGTCCCTCGCTACTTCGCGGTTCACTTTTTGCGGACTCTCTATTTCACGGTTTTTTAATATGGACTTAAGAGCATTTGTTTGGATGGAGAGGCCGCCGCTGCGGATAAAGCCGGACTTGAGGATTATGTGAACACCACATTAAAGGAGGGTTATGTAGTGTATAAGTGTGTTGCAGGTTCCCTGGATCCCCAGATTCGAACCTGCAACCTTTTGGTCAACAAGTTCAGCAGCTCAGTGGTTTAACCCACTGCACCACCGAGGGCTCATGAGTGTAGCTTTACCCTATTCAAGTACATATAGGATCTGTGCCCATACATCCCTTGCAAATGTGCCGGAATTCACCTATGCCATGGAAATAATGCAGTTTGACTCCACTTTGACATCCTTGGCTCAATGTTGTGGAATCCTGGGAGTTGCTCTTTGGTGAGAGATCAGCACTATTTGACCAAGAAGGCTCATAGAAAGTTACAGGGAGGGAATATTATGGAGTTATTTTTGTATTTTGTTCCTTTGTTTGGTCTTATTTTTTATTTCTGACTAGCCGTCCCCTGCCACGCGTTGCTGTGGCCCAGGCTGTGTATACATGTTTAGTGTATGTATATATGTGTATATATGTGTGTTTGCATATATATATATATATATACATATACATATATATGTGTGTGTGTGGGTGCATATATATGTGTGTGTATGTATATATATGTGTGTGTGTGTATATATATATATATATATACACACACACACACACACACACGGGTGCATATATATGTGTGTGCATATATGTGTGTTTATATTTGTGTATATGTGTGTTTGCATATATATATATATATATAGTGTTCATATATGTGTGTGCTATATTTGTGTATATATGTGTGTTTGCATATATATATATACATATACATATACACATATATATGTGTGTGTGTGGGTGCATATATATGTGTATATAAATGTGTGTATATATTTGTGTGTTTATATATGTACATGCATATTGTGTATATGTGTGTGCAACTGTATATGTATATACGAATGTGTGCATGTATATGTGTATATGCATATATGTATGTATATGTGTGTATTTGTGTGTGTTTGTGCATATATATACATGTGTGTGTATGAATGTGTGCATGTGCATATGTATATGGGTGTATGTGTATATATGGTGTATTTTTGGGGGTTTTAAGTCTGTTCCACTGGAGTTGTGTGTGCGCGTGCGTGCACGTGCATGTGTGTTTGTGTTTATGGGTGATGCACATTCCTTAGACTGTTAGGTGTATTGTGTCCAAATTTCGTGTCAATTCATCCAGTGGTTTTTGAGTTATGTTAATCCCCCAAATGAACATTACATTTTTATTTATATAGATTTTAATTTGTTGGATATCAGTTGCATTGTAAACATCTTCATGAAGAAACTGAACCTCTATTTTAGCTTGCAAGTGCAAGAACCAACACTAGATGGTGCCAAAGGGATTAAGGAAAAAGGGAGGCAGCATCTGGTCAACAGAGTGGACCAGGCTCCAAAAGTCCAATCCATGGCTATAATAAGATAGATCTCCCAAAGGGCTCAGTCCTTGGAACATGGGGTGCCAAAATACAAGGGATGCCTGCGAATTAATCCTAAATATATTTTCTTTCCAAACTGCGGTGCGGTTCCTGTAAAACAGGTATGGGCAAACCCAGGCCCGGAGACCTTGGGCTCTTTTCTCAGGCCCTCTTCTCTCTTGTCACCCTGTCCTTCCTCCCTTCTCTTTCCTTTCTCCTTCCCTTCCATACCTCCCTCTTTCTCCTTCCTTCCCTTCCACCTATCATCCTTTCTTCCTTCCTCCCCTTCCTTCCTCTTTTTCTCCCTTCCTTTCCTTCCTTTTCCTTTTCTTCTTCCTTCCTTCCTTCCTCTTCATCATCATCTTCTTCCTCCTCCCCCCTCACTCCTTCTTCTTCACCTTTTCTTCCTTTTCCTTCTCCCTTTCTCTCTTCCTCTACCTTCCTTCCTTTCCTTCTTTCTTCCTTCCTTCCTTCCTTCCTTCCTTCCTTCCTTCCTTCCTTCCTTCCTTCCTTCCTTCCTTCCTTCCTTTCTTCCTTCCTTCCCTTCTCTCTCCCTCCCTTCCCTCTTTCCTTCCCTTCCACCCTTTCGTCCTTTCCTTCCCTTCCCCCTCCTTTTTTCTCCTTCTCCTTCCTTCCTTCCTTCCTTCCTCCTTCTTTCCTTCCTTCCTTCCTTCCTTCTTTTCCTCCCTTTTCTTTCCTTCTTCTCTTTCTCCTTCTCCCTTCCCTTCCTCCCTTCCACCTTTTTTATTTCCTTCCTCCCTTCCTTCTTCCCCTTTGTCTCCTTCCTTCTCTATTTCCTTCCCTTCTCCTCCTTCCTCCCTTCCCTTTTCTTTCCTTCCATCCTCCTTCCTTCCCTTTTCTTTCCTTCCCTCTCTTTCCTCCCCCTCTCTCCCTTTTCCCTTCCCTTTTCTTCCTTCCTTCTCTCTTTCCTCCTTCTCCTCCCTTCCTTCCTCCCTTCCTTTTTCCTTTCTTCCTTCCCTCTTCCTTCTCTTTCTTCCTTCCTTCCTTCCTTCCTTTCCTTCCTTCCTTCCTTCCTTCCCTTTTGTCTTTCCTTCCTTCTCCCTTTCCTCCCACCTTCTCCTCCCTTCCATTCCCTTCCCTTCCTTCCCCGCTTCTCTTTTTCCTTCCTCCTTTCCTCCTGCGAATATTTAGCTTGGAGAAGAGAAGGTGGAGAGGGAACATGAGAACCACGTCTCAAGATTTCCAAGGGTGCCCTATTGAAGTGGGGGCTGGCTTTCTGCTGCTCTAGGGACCAGGGCACAAGAAGGGAGCCATGGCTTCAAATGACAGGGAAAGAGATGTGGCTGAAAAGATTAGGAAGAACTTCCTGAGAGTGAGAGCTATTGGAGGCTGCCTCAGAGTGTGATGGGGTCTCAGGAGGCTTTTCCGCAGAGGCTGTCTGTTGGGAGTGCTTTAGTTGTGCCTTCTTGCATGGCAGGGGGTTGGACTGGATGGTCCTTGGGGGTCTCGTCCAACTCTAGGATTCTATGTCAGGAGTAGGCAATATGGGAATCTAATGGAGACACTTTTTCCTCTCCTGTCCACCATCTCATTGTGATCAAGGCCAACCCTTGTGGGATCCAAACTTTTCCCGTGTTCCCTGCACTTGCTGCTTCCGAAAGAGAAGAGGAAGGGGATGAAAGGGCAGGGAGGAGGCTTGGGGAGAACCCCCTCCCTCCCAGCCCACCCACCCCATTCCGGCAAGCCATGCGACCCCCAAGTTAGAAAGTTTGCCTATGCATGCTGCAAAACCTCCTTGCAATTCTGTTATTCTTGGGGTTAAAGAGCAATATCTTTGCAGGGAGAAGGATGGACTAGATGTCCTCTGCCCCCCCCCTCCAAGTTTGACAGCACCGCCATGACGTTATCCATTTGTTTTTCTCCACTAAGTGGGTTTTATTGATCCTTTTTTTGTCCATCTCTCTCAATCACAGAAATTGAAAGACCAGGAGGAGGAAACGACTGCAAAGACCCTAAACCTGAGCACAAATGTCCGTGTTGGAAAACTCCATTGGGGCAAACCCTACAAGACCACTATCCCACGCCTGGCTGCTGCTTCTCTCACTCTTTGGGGTCACCATGGATGGCGACCCACATCCATAAAGGCCTTGGACACCCCTTGGAGAGAAGCCCCAAATGGCAGTTAAGTATACCAAAGGAAGGCCCCCCAAAAGGCACATTTCCCTCCCTGGTATTGCAAGAATGGGAAGAAACATGGCTGGGCACTTCCTGTGGGCACCATGGCAGGCGTGGGTCTCTGCTGTGTCCACCTGGATATCTGTGAGATGTCAGGTAATGCTAGGAAGTTGGCGATAGACCGTGCTCTTCTGGTCATATGTTCATCCAACTGCTTGAACCTTTAAAGGTGATAAATAACTGGGAAGAGATGATTGCTCCATTGGCATTACAGGGACAGGAAGGAAAAGGGCTGGTGGGAAGCTTAGTTCTTTCTGTGGCACCATGCTGACCACTGATCTCTGCTGTAGCCAAAGAGGTCCCCATGAGATCTTGGACGGTACTCTGAAGTGAACAATGGGAGGGTAGCCTTGCTCTGGGCAACATGGTGAGTGCTGGCTGGGGCCAAAGGGGTGCCTATGAGATGTTGGATGGTGCTTGGAAGTGGACAACAGAGCCTTGGTTTCCTGGATTTGCTCCTTCTATGGGCACCATGGTGGACACTGGCCTCCGTTGTGGCCAAAGGGCACCCATGAAAGGTTGGATGGTGCTTGGAAGTGGACAACGCGTCCAGTCCTGACCTTGGTCTCCTGGGTTCGCTCCTTCTATGGGCATCATGGTGGGCACTGGTTTATGTTGCAGCCAAAGGCACACCCATGAGATGTTGGATGGTGCTTGGAAGTGGACAACAAAGCCAGTCCTGACCTTGGTCTCCTGGGTTAGCTCCTTCTATGGGCACCACGGTGGGCACTGGTCTATGTTGCAGCCAAAGGAGCACCCATGAGATGTTGGATGGAGCTTGGAAGTGGACAATGCAGCCAGTCTTGATCTTGGTCTCCTGGGTTAGCTCCTTCTATGGGCACCATGGTGAGCGCTGGCCTCCGTTGCGGCCAAAGGGGCACCCATGAGATGTTGGATGGTGGACAACGTATCCAGTCCTGACCTTGGTCTCCTGGGTTTGCTCCTTCTATGGGCATCATGGTGGGCACTGGTCTATGTTGCAGCCAAAGGCACACCCATGAGATGTTGGATAGAGCTTGGAAGTGGACAACAGAGCCAGTCCTGATCTTGGTTTCCTGGATTTGCTCCTTCTATGGGCACTATGGTGGACACTGGCCTCCGTTGCGGCCAAAGGGGTAGCTATGTGATGTCCAATAGTGTCTGTAAGTGGGTGATGGACCATGACCTTCTGGGTCAAATGCCCAAGCAAGTGGCACATGCCTCCTGCTTGAATTCTTAAAATTGACCAGAGAAGAGATGGATGCAAAGGTGATTACACCATTGGTATTTTGGGAATGGGACGGACAATGGATGGGCAACCTGGTTCTTTCTGTGTTGGCCATTATAGGCTCTGTTGTGGTCAACAGGACCCATGGGATGTCAGACAGTGTTTGGAAGTGGACGCTGGAACCAGTCCTGACCTTGTCCTTCTGGGTGACCTCTTTCTGTGGCTGGCACTAGATCCTACGATGGTCAAACCCATGGGATGTTGCTCTGAAGTGGACGATGGAGCCAGCCAACTGGCCTGTATTTCCTATTTAAATGTGGGAGGAGTGATTGGCATGGTGATGGCACCATTGGCATGGCAGGAATGGGAAGGAAGATGGATAGTTTTCTATGGGCAGCATGGTGTTCAATGGGCTCGGCTGCAGCAAATGGCAGCCATGAGACAATGCTCTGAAGTGGACAATGGGTGGGCAAGCTGGTTCCTTCTGCATTGGGCACCAGGCTCTGCTATGGCTGAAGGCATACCCTTGAGATGTCCAATGGTGCTTGGATTTGGGCCCTTCTGGGTCAAATGTCCAGGCCACTGGCATGTGCCTCCCACTTGAACCTCTAAAGGGAGTAGATGGATAGATAACCAAGGAGGAACGGGGAGAAAGATGGATGGTTCTTCCTGTGGACACTGGGGCAAGCAATGGCCTCTGCTGTGGCCAAAAGGGTCCCATGAGAAGTGGACAATGGAGCTCAGAAGAAGAAGATGGAGCTGATCCTGGCGGTGCCCATCTGGGTCAAATGTCCAGCCAACTGGCACATGCCTCCTGCTAGAGTCTTTAAAGAAGACTCGAGCGCCAAAAGTGGGCCCAAGTTCCCATGCCAACAGTGTTGGCCCATTACTGGCCGGCCTTCTTGGACGTCCTTGCTGCCTCATTCTGGGGCTGTGAATATTCCTGGGTGAACTTGGCGTGGAATTGGCTCAGCTTCTGCAAGACGATCTCCAGTTTTTCCATCGGAGGCAAGATGGTCATTCTGGGTGCGAGAGAAAGTGGGAAAGAAGAAGGTTAGGAGTCTAGATGGGCCACATTGTGCCATAAAGTCCTGCCCAAATCTATTATTTTCTTGGTATATTCCCAATGCCTGATACTCTGTCCCACTGAAAATGGATGAAAGAACATTTCAAGGTGTTAATGACAGCTGTTACGCCAAGGGAGCCACCCCAAAATGAACCCATACCTGAAGTGGAAGGTCCCTTCTTTCTGTCCAAAACCGCTTCCAGGAACAACGCAAATCCCGGTCTCCTCCAAGAGCCGGAGGCAGAAGAACATGTCCGGAGCCTGGCCTTGCGCCTAGACGAAGAAGCAAGGCATTCCATAGAATCAGAGGGAACCCCAAAGGCTATTTGGATCAACCCCTGCCAGGGAAGGAATCTACCATGACAACACTCTTCAAAAGACTTCAATAAAGCAGAGTTCAGGCTTATAGGATCCTGGGAGTTGTAGCTTGGTGAGGCTTCAATGTTCTTTGGCAGAGGAGGCTAAAGACCTTGCAAAACTACAACTCCCATCAAACCCTGGCAGTTCAAGTGCAGTAAAACTGCATTCATCCTACAGTGCAGATTAACCTTAGTATCAAACCGAGAATAGGTTTTTTTATTTAAAAATTGCAACGTTTTGTAAAACTTTCTAGAGAAAGTGTATTGTCGAAGGCTTTCATGGCTGGAATCAATAGGTTCTTGTGAGTTTTTTCGGGCCATATGACCATGTTCTAGAGGCATTTTCTCCTGACGTTTTGCCTGCATCTATGGCAAGCATCCTCAGAGGTAGTGAGGTCTGTTGGAACTAGGAAAATGGGTTTATATATCTGTGGAATGGCTGGGGTGGGACAAAGGACTCTTGTCTGCTGGAGCTAGGTGTGAATGTTTCAGCTGACCACCTTCATTAGCATTTGAAGGCCTGGCTGAGCCTGGGAGAATCTTTGGTTGAGAGGTGTTAAGCTGTGCTTGGTTGTTTCCTCTCTGCTGTTTTGCTGTTGTAATTTTAGAGTTTTTTAATACTGGTAGCCAGATTTTGTTCATTTGCATGGTTTCCTCCTTTCTGTTGAAATTGTCCACATGCTTGTGGATTTCAATGGCTTCTCTGTGTAGTCTGACATGGTGGTTGTTGGAGTGGTCCAGCATTTCTGTGTTCTCAAATAATATGCTGTGTCCAGGCTGGTTCATCAGGTGCTCTGCTATGGCTGACTTCTCGGGTTGAAGTAGTCTGCAGGGCCTTTCCTGTTCCTTGATGCGTGTCTGGTCCATGCTTCTGCGTTTGGTGGTCCCTATGTAGACTTGTCCACAGCTGCATGATCTACGGTAGACTCCTGCAGAAGTGAGAGGATCCCTCTTGTCCTTTGCTGAATGAAGCATTTGTTGGATTGTGTAGCTCCAGCAGACAAGAGTCTTTTGTCCCAGCCTGGTCATTCCACAGATATATAAACCCATTTTCCTAGTTCCAACAGACCTCACTACCTCTGAGGATGCTTGCCATAGATGCAGGCGAAACGTCAGGAGAAAATGCCTCTAGAACATGGCCATATAGCCCGAAAAAAACTCACAAGAACCTATTTCTAGAGAAAGACTAGAATAGCTAAACGTTTATTTTATTCTCTAACTGTTAATACTTTATTAACACATTTCAATAAAATATTTTTAGATATACTAGCCGTCCCCTGTCATGCATTGCTGTGGCCCAGTTTTGTGTGTGCATATGTGTGTCTCTATATATTTGTGTATATGTGTTTGCATGTATATATATGTGGTTTTGCGCATGTGTTGTAATTTATTTATATTTTTGGCTTTCTAAGTCTCTTCTGTTGTGTTTCTCAGTATTTTTATGAGTGATGGTCACTCGTTGGCCCGATAGATGTATTGTGTCCAAATTTGGTGTCAATTCGTCCAGTGGTTTTTTAGTTACGTTAATCCCACAAACGAACATTACATATATATATATATATATATATATATATATATATATATATATATACGCACACACACATACTAGCTGTCCCCTGCCACGCGTTGCTGTGGCCCAGTCTGTTTCTATGTATTTTGTGTGTGCATATATGTGTATGTGTGTGTGTATGTATTTGTGTATATATGTGTGTGTGATTTTGTGCTATGTAGCATTCTTTTTGCACAGGCAGTACCCAAGTTGCGAACAAGAGAGGTTCTGTAGGTCCTTAAGCTGAATTTGTATGTAAGTCAGAATAGGCACATTTTTAAGTGCATTTATTATCGAACCAAGGTAAAAAAAAAAAAAGCCCAAAGATTTATAGTTCACTAAAGGCTCAGAAATAGATAAATATATAAATATATATATTCCTTTTTTTAAAAGATGCTTTCTGGACTTCAAAGCATTAGAAGACTGAGACCAAACCAGCAGCTGCAAACCCTTAAACTGTCTCGTATCTAACCCTTTAATCAATTGCATCAACTTTACAATTTCAACTGTGTACTGTTTCTATTTCTTATATACGAAATGTATATAAACTGCTTCTTAGAAATATATCAAAATATAACGAAGAAACAGCCACCCCTCGTTGATTCTGTCCAGATAATCTCCTAGAAATGGAAAAGGTTGGGCAAATCCCTCTGGCAATCTCCCAAGCCAGGTCATCAGATTCATTGTATGTGTGCAAAGATAGGTGACTTCCTTTGCCAGTTGGATAAGCCCCAAATGTTGGTACAACTCACATAAAGCTGAAAATCTTCCACTCCTCACGGAAATAGAAGCTTAAAGTACGTGTATTTGTTAGCTCTTTTGTTGTGAGCCAAGCCCTTGATTACACAACATCAGCATCTTTGTTCCTTGAGTCTTGGACCTTTGTTTCTTAAGATTCATATCTTTGTTTGGCATGGAACTGGACATTTCAGCTAATCAAAAGCTCATCAGCATCACTTTACCATGTGTTTTCCCCTGGCAATTCCAGCATGGATCCTAACCTGCCTTTTTTAAGCCAATCAGGAGAAGAAGCGAGAAGTCTGAATAGCTGTCAGAACTGTATCAAATGTCTTGTATCTTTATACTTGTACATTTTGAAGGATCTTGCTTGTACCACCATGCTTTTTGGCTGAATTGTACTAAACCTCTGTGGCTTGTCTACAATCTGGTGAGTTGTATTTCTGTCCTGGCTTTTTCGGTTAAGCATACGCTCACCGGGCATGGATCTTCTTATCCACGGTCCTAACTAACCACTATACAACTCCATCCAAACATATATATATTAAGCTTTGGATAGCATAGGGAAGACTTAACACCCCTGTGGGATTTTGTTTTCTGTGCTCCTGTTCAGAAGACTTCACTTCACTTTCTGTCCCTGTGATTATTGAAAAATCTGGCTTGTTGCGGAAACAAGGATCGGTGATAAAGCTTCAGTGGAGACCCCTCTCCATTAAAACTCTTCATTAAAACTCTTCCAGGAATGGATTTCTGTTCCAGGGGGGTAGACTTTCCCCACTTCTCTTGTCTTAGGCCCATTCTTAATTATGTGTCCTTTCTACATTTGATATTTATACTTCAGGAACTGCCTGTATTTGATATTTTATTTTATATTATTTTATTTATATGCAGCCTTTCTCCCAGAATGAGAAATTGTTTCCTTTAAGAAGAAAACAAGCAAAGAACTGCATCCATTAACCAATGCTGAAATGGGGATAGTCATCCCAACCTGTTGACAGATGGTCCTTGACTTGGTGCAAGATTCATAATGAATCCTAGAGTTGGAAGGGACCTCAATGGCCATCCAACCCAACTTACTTTTGCCAGGTAGGAAAATGCAACCAAAGCCTTCTCAACTGATGGCCATCCAGCTTCTGCTTCAAGTCCTCCCAGAAGGAGACCCCATTCACCCACCCACCCACCAATTACCTTTGCTTCCTGGATGGCCCGAGGAGGGAGCTGCATGCGAGGGAAAGCATACATGGCCCCCTGGACAGGGTTGCAGTGGATCCCGGGGGCTTTGTTGAAAGTCTGCTCGGTCAGCCGGGCCTTTTTGGCCAAAGCGCTCAGCACTGCCTGCTTCTCCTGCCAAGAGAGGGAAACGGGTCAGAGTCGGACAGAAGGGAAGGAGCAAAGCCCAAAATCTCAGCAGGCATCTACACTGTAGCATTAGTACAGCCTGATACCACTTTGAGTGGCATGGCTCTATGCTATGGACTCATTAGAGTTGTAGTTTTACATGACTATCTCTGCCAAAGAGTGCTGGTGCATCACCAAACTACAGCTTCCAGGATTCCATAGCACAGAGCACCCTGTGGATGTACCGTGAGAAAGGAGAGGAAGGAGTGGCTCTCTGCAAAATATAGAGAAGCATGACCTGCAAGGAGTGCTGTTTTTAAACATTCCTACTTTGCCATGGCTCCATGCTATGGGATCCTAGCAGAAGTGGGATGGACTGGGTGGCCTTTGGGGGTCCCTTGGATTCTATGATTCTATAAAGGAAATTTAGAAGAACACAGGCTGAACATGATTGTGACAAAGCAACAGAAAAAGCCAGTGCAATTCTAGGCTGCAAGAGGAGTCTAGTGTCCAGATCAAGGGAAATAATAGCCACCAAACTACAAATCCCAGGATTCTGCAACACTGAGCACAGCAGTTAGATTGGTGTCAGACTGCATTATTCAGTGTAGATGCACCCATTGTTAGGCTGACCTTCTTGATGGGGTTTCAAGAGTGTTAAGAACCCTTTCTGGAGGTAGGAAAGGAGTAGCGATAGGTGATTTTTCCAACTCTATATCAGATACTTCTGTTCAAAGCTATCCTTCACACCCAGAGCTTCCCTTTGTGCTGCCTACCTGGCTGAACTGTTGGTAGGAAGGGTCTCCCTGCTTGGGCTGGTTGACTACCACGTCAAGAAGGATCTGCCCTGTCACGGGGGGACACAACCGGACCGAGATCAGCTTGGTCAGCTGCTGCTGGACAGCGGGGTCCATGTTGATGATCTCCATGTAACCTCCACGGAAGCCACACCTGCGAACATAAGAGAAAGAGTCAGGTGAGTCTTGGGGAGCAGGCATTTCGGAATGAGACACTTTAAATCATGGAACAAATATCTGTGACTTCACTTCCCACAGGAAGAATGGTCTCTGGCTAAGTGTGATAATGAGTGGTTTGAATGAAATTGTATGACTGGTGTATAACCAGGATCTGACGAAGAGTGAAGACACCATTATGAGACTAGAGCATGGAAAACTACAAAAGGAGGTGAAGAATTAATGAACTGCTGAACCGCTGACTTGAATGAAGACAATGATTAACTGTGATTGAAAACAACATGTTTACATCGTCAAAGACAATGGTTCTTTAAGTAAAGGAAGACAAACACAAGAGTTCCTTATGTCAAACTAATATCTGTTTGGAACTGATGAAATCAGCAAGTTTCAGCTGCAACCTATCAGTCATTTACAACAGCAGCAGCAAGAAATATGATATATAAGAGACTTTCTTATTTTCCAAAAATGTGCCAGACAGCATTCTGGTCACCTTCCTCTTTCTTCAAGGGGCAGATAGAGATGGTGTATCTACAGAATGGCAGATTTACAGGGAATGAGATCTGGCCCATGTTCAGTTCTCCAGGAGATGGAAGAAGGGATAGTAATGTATGCATGAGGATTGAATGTGTGTGTGAATGCTGAGTAAAATATAATCTCCATTTGTTTGTGTAACCAATCTATATATATAGTCTGTATATCAGTTAATGGTAAAACATCAATCATTGAGGATTTAATCCTTGAAGAACATGCTGACCAGCTGTGTATAACAGAGACCTGGTTGAACAAGGCTGGGGGGGGGGGTTAATCTCTCCCAGGCTACCTAGTACAGCATCAGTCGAGACCTGGAGGGCGGGGAGGTGGTGTCGCAATTGTCTATAAGGATTCTATCCCCCTGCTCAGGTGCCCCATCCCACAGTCAACCACGTTTGAATGTCTCGGCCTGAGGGGATAGGGATTTTGCTAGTGTATCGACCACCCCACTACACTACAGTCTCCCTACCTGAGCTAGCCTGAGTGGTCTCAGGCCTGGCATTGGAGTCTCAACGGCTCATGGTGCTGGGAGACTTCAGTGTCCATGCTGAGACCACTCTGTCAGGTGCAGCTCAGGACTTCATGGCTGCCATGGCAAGCATGGGCCTGTCCACAAGCCAATATCCACAGGTGTGCTCAGTATGGGGAAAAAGTTCTCTCTCATAGATCAATACATGAGTGGATTGAAATGTTCAAAAACATAATGTGATGGATGTGGATTGCTCTGGACATCCAGCTGCAGCCATGACTGCAAGGAATGAAAAAGGACCCTGGGACTGATTCACATCAGTGCTTCAGTACATCAGTGGCTGTTTATGCACTTAACCAAAACATGTTTTGCTGATGGTATTAAAAAGTTGATACAATGCTGGGGTAAAATGCATCACAAAGAAAGGTGACTATATAGAAAATGTTAGGATTTGGAAATTACCTAACATTGTCTAAGTCAGTGTTTCTCAACCTGGGGGTCACGACTCCTGGGGGGATCATGAGGGGGTGTCAGAGGGGTCACCAAAGATGATCAGAAAACACAGTATTTTCTATTGGTCATAGGGGTTCTGTGTGGGAAGTTTGGCTCAATTCTATAGTTGGTGGGGTTCAGAATGCTCTTTGAATGTAGTTGAACTACAAATCCCAGCAACAACAAACTCAAGGTCAATGCCCACCAAAATCCTTCTAGTGTTTTCCGTTGGTCAGAGGAGTTCTGTGTGCCAAGTTTAGTTCGATTCCATCAGTGGTGGAGTTCAGAATGATCTTTGATTGTAGGTGAACTATAAATCCCTGCAACTACAACTCCTAAATGACAACATAAATCCCTCCAACCCCACCAGTATTCAAACTTGGGTGTGTCAGGTATTTGTGCCAAATTTCATACAGTGAATGAAAATACATCCTGCACATCAAATATTTACATTACAATTTGTAACAGTAGCAAAATTACAGTTATGGAATAGCAACAAAATAATTTTATGGTTGGGGGTCACCACAACATTAAGGGGTCGCACCATTTGGAAGGTTGAAGACCATTGGTCTAAGTGATAGTAGAGTTGATACCTCTGGCCTAACTACCTGTAGAAGAGTTAAGCCACTGCAATTGCGGTGTGGTGGTTAATGCAATGGGAGTAGCATATAGGTTGGAGTTATACTGAGTAAGTTTGATAAGGGATGGGGGGTAGTTTGGAGAGTGTGTTGGAGAACTGTTGTTGTAAGTAGTGAGGAAGAAGAAGCTGTATAGTTTGTATATTTTATATATACTTTGTACACTGCCACAGCAAAGGAGAAAGAAAAGCCTTCCTGCTTATTTGGGAAAGAACAACAGTCTCCACATACTTTGTTGTTCTAGTAAAAGACCACAACAACTGTGTTTCTGGATATCTGGTTCCTTAGCTGGAACTATTAGAGTTACTGGGTTGTTGTAGGTTTTTCAGGCTATATGGCCATGTTCTAGAAGCATTCTCTCCTGATGTTTTGCCTGCATCTATGGCAGGCATCCTCAGAGACCTCACAACCTCTGAACATGTCTGCCATAGATGAAGGTGAAACGTCAAGAGAGAATGCTTCTAGAACATGGCCATATAGCCCGAAAAACCTACAACAGCCCAGTGAATCCAGCCATGGAAGCCGTCGACAATACTAATAGAGTTACTTCTGCAAGAACAGAAGTTTTATGACTGCATAGAAGACCCAACAGAAAAGTCATGCAATTTGTTTTTAAATAAAGCTTTTGAAGACCCCTCATGTTCCCTGAAACCACAGGTAAGACTTAATGCCATTCCCCAAAGTGGAATGTGCTCTTCTATTAGTGTTTAAATGTGAATGCAACCCATGGAGTGAAAGAATGGAAGGAGAAAGAGGAGGAGAGAGGTGTCACTTACTCTCCCATGAAGCCCTTGGAAATGGAGTGGAAGGAGGCCAGCTCCAGGCTGTCGGAATACTTGGGCCCCATCTCAAAGAGCACCTTCTTGAAGGAGTGGAACTGGGAGCCCTCGGCGTAGACGTTGTCCTGGTACACCTGGCAGAAGAGACACAGGTTTATATTTATTTATTTATTTATTCACTTGTATACCGCTAATATCTCAGCCTAGGTCGGCGACTCATTGCGGTTTACAACAATTAAAAAACAGTCTCCAATTTAAAACATACACACATACAATACAAATTATTGGGCCACCAATAATAATCCCATGTATCTCGAATTAAAATCATAATCCAGAATTCGTTGTCCATATTTTCCTGTCCTTAGTCACCAAAATTCGATTGCCACAGATTAGCCGAATGCTTGTTTAAACAACCATGTTTTCAATCTCTTCCTAAACACCATCAGCGAAGAGGCTGATCGTACCTCTATAGGGAGGGTGTTCCAAAGCCGGGGGGCCACCACAGAGAAGGCCCTGTCTCTCGTTCCCGCCAGCCGCACTTCTGAAGCTGGAGGGATAGAGAGAAGGGACTCTCCAGAAGATCTTAGGGTCCTGGTGGGCTGATAGGCTGAGATACGTTCGGATAGATAAGTTGGGCCAGAACCGTTTAGGGCTTTAAAGGCCAACGCCAGCACTTTGAATTGAGCCCGGTAGCATATCGGCAGCCAGTGGAGCTGGTTCAGCAGAGGAGTTGTGTGCTCCCTGCGCCCCGCTCCTGTTAGTACCATGGCTGCCGCCCGTTGGACTAGTTGGAGCTTCCGGACTGTCTTCAAAGGCAACCCCACGTAGAGAGCGTTGCAGTAATCAAGGCAGGATGTAACCAGAGCGTGGACTACCGTGGCTAAGTCAGACTTCCCAAGGTACGGTCGCAGTTGGCGCACAAGTTGGCATTAAGACATGCAGGGTAGAGGTGTGCGAAGAGGCTGAAATCCAATTAGTAATTCAATTTGGAGGTTCAGGTGGCCCCTGCTTTGATTAGGAAAAATTCAGAAGGTCCCGTTCTGATTCATACTCTGAATCTCCAAAGCTTCGTAATTGCTTCATTACAATTCGTTCCATTTGCAGTAATAAGAAAATTGGAAGGCTCGTTTCTCCATCACTTTTACAGCTATCAAGATGAAACTTGGCACACTTGTAGGCAAGCTTTACAACTTTAAGCCTGCCAAGTTTCAGAATGTTTTGACCATTCACTGAATTTTAAGATTTTTTAAAAAGTTTTCACAATTTTATTTTAACGAAACTCCAAAAGGTATTGCCTTGAATTTCTGCACAATGAGACAACATAAGCAGGGCATCAAATCCTGCAAAGTTTCAGAAAGATTCATTCATCTACTGATCCACTCATATTGTGGCATAGTGGGACAACATGAGCAACACAACAAGCCTGCCAAGTTTCACAACAACCATTCTATCCACTGATTTTAAAGATTTATTTCAATTTAAGCACATGCAATTATCACATTGGGGGTTTAGTATAGGAAAGCCCTGTTTTTCTGACGTGAGCAGAATTCTGGGAAATGTAGTTTAGGGCAGGGCCTTTTGAATACTCTGCTACAGAGGTCCTCACCTTCCCAAACTACATTTCCCAGAATTCTGCTTGTGCCAGAAGAAGGGGGATTATCACATTGGGGGTTTAGTATAGGAAAGCCCTGTTTTTCTGACGTGAGCAGAATTCTGGGAAATGTAGTTTAGGGCAGGGCCTTTTGAATACTCTGCTACAGAGGTCCTCACCTTCCCAAACTACATTTCCCAGAATTCTGCTTGTGCCAGAAGAAGGGGGATTATCACATTGGGGGTTTAGTATAGGAAAGCCCTGTTTTTCTGACGTGAGCAGAATTCTGGGAAATGTAGTTTAGGGCAGGGCCTTTTGAATACTCTGCTACAGAGGTCCTCACCTTCCCAAACTACATTTCCCAGAATTCTGCTTGTGCCAGAAGAAGGGGGATTATCACATTGGGGGTTTAGTATAGGAAAGCCCTGTTTTTCTGACGTGAGCAGAATTCTGGGAAATGTAGTTTAGGGCAGGGCCTTTTGAATACTCTGCTACAGAGGTCCTCGCCTTCCCAAACTACATTTCCCAGAATTCTGCTCATGCCAGAAGAACGAAGCAACCATTTCTCCAAACGGAGGGGAATTATTCACATGTAAGAATCCACCTGGACCTACAGGATCTTCCCCATTGGCCATGCTGAATGGGAGCAATGGGATCTGGAGTCCACAAACATCAATTTAGGGAAGCCACCTCAATGAACAGGAAGGCCTTGGGCATGTTTTGATGGATACCTTTGGCTGACGAAATGGGTGAATGGGAAACAAAGGCAAAATGGAGGAACTGAGAGGAGACTTTGAGGAGGGCGGACCCCAAAGCTCACCTCATCAGCCATGAGGAAGAGGTGCTCCTCCCACGCAAAGTGGATGACATCCTCAATGCACTTTCGGCTTTGGACCTGTCCTGCAGAAGGAGAGAGAAGAGAGGAGGAGGTTACTTGCAATGCTTTCTCCAAAATGTGAGGACCTGGAAGCCGAAGGCTTGTTTGCACAGCGCATGATCCAGGATTAGCAGCTCCTAAACCCCATATCCCATGTCAGGGGGCTACAAAGTCCATTCCAGATCTTATTCTAGGCACCAAATAAGCGTTCCAAGGTGCTGAAACCCATCTCACAGCCCTTTGTGGAAGTGCACTTGAGACCTCTGGCAGAAGTTGACTACACAATCACATTGGAAGATCTAGGGCAGTGTTTCTCAACCTGGGGGTCGGGACCCCTAGGGGGGTCACGAGGGGGTCTCAGAGGGGTCACCAAAGACCATTAGAAAACACAGTATTTTTATTTATTCTGTTGGCCATGGAGATTCTTTGTGGAAAGTTTGTCCCAATTCTATCATTGGTGAGGTTCAGGTGAATTACAAATCCCAGCAACTACAACTCCCAAATGTCAAGGTCTATATTCCCAAATTCCACCAGTGTTCACGTTTGGGCATATTGAGTATTTGTGCCAAGTTTGGTCCAGTTCTACCCTTGCTTGAGTCCACAGTGCTCTCTGGATGTAGGTGAACTACAACTCCCAAACTCAATGCCAATGCCTGCCAAACCATTCAAGTATTTTCTCTTGCTCATGGAAGTTCTGTGTGCCAAGATTGGTCGAGTTCAGAATGCTCTTTGGTTGTAGGTAAACTACAATTCCCAAATGACAAATTTAATCCCCCCAACCCCACCAGTATTTGTGCCAAATTTTGTCTAGTGAATGAAAATATATCCTGCATGTCAGATTATTTACATGACGATTCATAACAGTAGCAAAATTCCAGTTATCATGTAGCAATGAAAATAATGTTATGGTTGGGGGTCACCACCACATGAGGAATTCTATTAAGGGGTTGTGGTACTTGGGAGGTTGAGAACCACTGATCTAGGGATTTCTAGAGAGGGCACTTCACTAAGAATGTACAGGTCCTCTAGCATGATTATGTGGTCAGTTTCTGGTGGGCTATTCACATATTTGACTCTGGGAATATTTAGGTCCTCCAAAGTGATGTTATGAATCATGGGATCATGCTGATAGACCTAGAGATCCCAGGTGTTCTTTCAGGTAAAAAAATAGCATTTTCCAAATTGCATCCTTTTGTCATTTCATGGGTATCCTATGCCACTAAAACCTTGCACAAGTGGAAAGCTTCACTCTATTGCCGAAGGCTTTCATGGCCGGAATCACTGGGTTGTTGTAGGTTTTTTCAGGCTATATGGCCATGGTCTAGAGGCATTCTCTCCTGACGTTTCGCCTGCATCTATGGCACGCATCCTCAGAGGTAGTGAGGTCTGCTGGGACTAGGAAAAAGGGTTTATATATCTGTGGAATGACCAGGGTGGGACAAAGAACTCTTGTCTGCTGGAGCTAGGTGTGAATGTTTCAACTGACCACCTTGATTAGCATTTGATGGCCTGGCAGTGCCTGGGGCAATCTTTAGTTGAGAGGTGATTAGATGTGCCTGATTGTTTACTCTCTGTTGTTTTGCTGTTGTAATTTTAGAATTTTTTAATACTGGTAGCCAGATTTTGTTCATTTTCATGATTTCCTCCTTTCTTTTGAAATTGTCCACATGCTTCTTGTGGATTTCAATGGCTTCTCTGTGTAGTCTGACATGGTGGTTGTGAGAGTGGTCCAGCATTTCTGTGTTCTCAAATAATCTGCTGTGTCCAGGCTGGTTCATCCGGTGCTCTGCTATGGCTGACTGAGAGACTACAAGCAGAGGCACAACACTGTTTCTCAGATGATTCATTGGAACTTGTGCCACAAAGACCATCTGCATGGGATCACAGCCTGAAAACGTTACAGAAAATGAACACATCAAACTCCTCTGGGACTTCTGGATTCAGACAGACAGAGATTTGGAGCACAATACTCCTGACCTCAACAACAAAGATCCGCCTAGTCAAAGCCGTGGTATTCCCTGTAGTCACCTACGGATGTGAGAGCTGGACCTTAGGGAAGGCTGAGCGAAGGAAGATCGATGCTTTTGAGCTGTGGTGCTGAAGGAAAGTGCTGAGAGTGCCTTGGACTGCGAGAAGATCCAACCAGTCCATCCTCCAGGAAATAAAGCCCGACTGCTCACTGGAGGGAAGGATACTAGAGACAAAGTTGAAGTACATTGGCCACATCATGAGGAGACAGGAAAGCCTAGAGAAGACAATTATGCTGGGGAAAGTGGAAGGCAAAAGGAAGAGGGGCCGACCAAGGGCAAGATGGATGGATGGCATCCTTGAAGTGACTGGACTGACCTTGAAGGAGCTGGGGGTGGTAACGGCCGACAGGGAGCTCTGGCGTAGGATGGTCCATGAGGTCACGAAGAGTCGGAGACGACTGAACGAATGAACAACAACAACTCCTGACCTCATGATCATGTTACAAAACCAAATATGGATAGTCGATGTTGCAATCCCAGGTGACAGCAGGAATGAAGAGAAACAACGGGAAAAGCTAACACGATATGAGGATTTAAAGATCGAACTGCAAAGACTCTGGCACAAGCCAGTCAAGGTGGTCCCAGTGGTGATCGGCACACTGGGTGCAGTGCCTCAAGACCTTGGCCTGCACTTAAATACAATTGGCGCTGACAAAATTACCATCTGCCAGCTACAAAAGGCCACCTTACTGGGATCTGCACGCATTATTCGCCGATACATCACACAGTCCTAGACACTTGGGAAGTGTCCGACATGGGATCCAATGCAACAGCCAGCAGAGTGATCTTGTCTGCTGTTGACTCATCTTGTTGTGTTTCTAATAATAATAACAACAACAACAACAATAATAATAATACATCACACAGTCCTAGACGCTTGAGAAGTGTTCAACTTGGATTTTGTGATACGAAATCCAGCATATAGATCTCGTTTGCTGTGACATACTGTGCTTTTGTATCAATAATAATAATAATAATAATAATAATAATAATAATCAGCTAGATTGAGATCCAAAGCACCTATTGCAGCCACTCCAAGTCTTGAGAGGATGCAAAAGTTGCTTTGAGTCTCAATCAAATGGATAAAAACAATGACCTCACAACCTCTGAGGATGCCTGCCATAGATGCAGACGAAACGTCAGGAGAGAATGCTCCTGGAAAACTCACAACAACCCAACAATGATGATGATGATAGTAAGCATAATAAATAATAATAATCTTCTAGATAGAGACCCAAAACAGCCATTGCAGCTACTCCAGGTCTAATGAGTGCCATGATTCTGTCCAAGGTTCGCAAACTAGTTTGGACACTTGGCGTTTTGGACAGCGCTATGAGAAGTTGGGACTGAAGACAGGAGTGGAAACTCAGGACAACCCAACAATGTTGATGATAGTAAGCATAATAAACAATAATAATCTTCTAGACAGAGACCCAAAACAGCTATTGCAGCCACTCCAGGTCTAAGCCATGAGCGCCATGGTTCTGTCCAAGGTCCTCAAACTAGTTTGGACACTTGGCGCTTTGGATAGCGCTATGAGAAGTTGGGACTAAAGACAGGAGTGGAAACTCACAACAACCCAACAATGATGACGATAGTAAGCATAATAAACAATAATAATCTTCTAGACAGAGACCCAAAACAGCTATAGCAGCCACTCCAGGTCTAAGCCATGAGTGCCATGGTTTTGTCCAAGGTTTTCATACTAGTTTGGACACTTGGCACTTTGGATAGCGCTATGAGAAGTTGGGACTAAAGACGGGAGTGGAAACTCACAACAACCCAACAATGATGATGATGGTAAGCATAATAAACCATAATAATCTTCTAGATAGAGACCCAAAACAGCTATTGCAGCCACTCCAGGTCTAACACATGAATGCCATGGTTCTGTCCAAGGCTCTCAAACTAGTTTGGACATTTGGCATTTTGGATAGCACTACGAGAAGTTGGGACTAAAGATGGTAGTGGGTCCCCTGAGTCCCAGTCTCCAGCCCACAAACATAGGGCTTTTGCCTCCCACGCTTCCCGGTGACTTTGCTCCTGGGACACCCACCGGTGGGGTTCCCGGGGTTGATGATGCAGAGGACCTTTGGGCGGCAGTGCTCCTGAGCCTGGCGCAGGGCCCTCCGCAGCTCCCCAACATCCAAGGCCCAACTCTTATCTTCATCCAGGTAGTAGTTGATCTGCACGGCGTTGAGCTCCGCCAAAGCGGCTGAGTAGAGCGGGTACTGTGGGATGGGGATCAGGACCCCCGTGCGTGAGCGGCCCTCTCCGGAGACCAGCAGCTTCAGGATTGTCTGGAAAGAGACAAGCGGATGGAAATGTGGAGGACAAAGATTGGAGCAGCTTTATCCCTTCTGGCCCCATTCCTGGCTTCTTCCAGGCCTTATCATGAGAGCCAGGAAAACGCACATCTCCGAGCTTGGCTCACCCTAGGCAACTCCATCCTCCATCACTACTGACTGAAAGGTCATGAGTTTGAAGCCAGCCTAGGGCAGAGTGAGCTTCTGACCATTGTGTAGATCGCTGTCGACCTTTGCAGCCCAAAAGACAGTTGCATCTGTCAAGTAGGAAATTTAGGTACCGCTTATGCGAGGAGGCTAGTTTAACTAATTTACGATGCCATAAAAATCTCCAGCAAGCATGCAAAGAATGAGGAAGTATATTATTATTATTATTATTATTATTATTATTATTATTATTATTTAAACTTCTATGCCGCCACTCCCCTGGGGCTCGGAGCGGCTTACAAGAATGGCTAAAATCTAACAAAATTTAAAAGCAATTTAAAACAATTTAAAAACAACAATATCAAACATTAAAAGCCTGTCGAAACAGGTATGTCTTACATGCCCTGCGGAAAGCTGGTAAGTCCCGTAAGGCACGGACTTCAGGTGGCAGAGTATTCCAGAGTGATGGTGCCACTGCTGTGAAGGCTCTGCGTCTGGTTGCTGTTAGACGCAAGGTCTTGACACTGGGGACTTCCAATAGATCTTGGTCCTCAGAACGGAGGGATCTCTGGGGTTGGTAGGGGGTGAGGCGGTCCCTCAGGTACATCGCCCCAGGCTATGCAAGGCCTTAAAGGTGAGTACCATCACTTTGAAAGTGATCCGGTGCTCAATTGGTAACCAATGCAGCTGCAGTAGGATTGGTGTTATGTGGCATCTCATCGGAATTCCCGCAAGAAGCCGAGCAGCTGCATTTTGTACCAACTTGAGCTTCCGGATCACCGACAGAGGAAGGCCAATGTAGAGGGCGTTACAGTAGTCCAGTCTTGAGATGACCGTAGCCTGGATGACCGTAGCTAGGTCGTCCCTGGACAGGGATGGGGCTGCCGTCTAGCCTGCCGCAGGTGAAAGAAGGTGGTTCTGCTCACGGCGGATACCTGGGCCTCCATCGTCAGCAGAGGGTCCAAAAGGACTCCCACTCTCTTTACCAATGATAACGGGCGTAGCGCCTCGCCATCCAGGGTAGGCAGCTGGATATCCCCAGTGCCCGGTCGACCCAGCCATAGGATCTCCGTCTTTGCTGGATTCACCCTCAACCTGCTGGCACGCAGCCATCCAGTAACGGCCTCGAGGCACTGATGGAAACAATCGGGTACAGAGTCCGGTCGGCCTTCCATCTTCAGCACCAGCTGAGTGTCACCAGCGTACTGGTAACACTCAAGCCCAAAACCTCGAACCAGCTGAGCAAGTGGTCGCATAGAGATGTGAAACAACAGAGGGGAGAGTGTCACAAATGGACGGTGAAGCGACAGCTCCCCCAGTGGCCAGAATACCCTCATGAAGCTGGAAAGTTAAATAGCCTCTGTGTGTCTGTCTATATGTGTTGTGTGTCTATGGCATTGAATGTTTGCCATGTATATGTGCATTGTGATCCGCCCTGAGTCCCCTGCAGGGTGAGAAGGGTGGAATATAAATACTGTAAATAAATAATAAATAAATAAATGCTTCTTCTCCATCTTCACAGTCTGGACTTAAAATGCAGCTCTGGTTTTCTTTGCATTGAGATGTTTAACCTGTCATGACCTCCTCCAGTTTTGTCTTCGCCTTTTGCCTCCCTTTTCCAAATGCATAACAGAACCAGCTGCTTCTCCAGGCTCCTGACCTGCCCCACGTGGAAAGGGGGAGTGGGGCCTGCTTGTTAACAGACCCTCCCCAATTCCCTCCGTCCCCGGCTTCCACCAGGGATGGACGCTGCCAAGGACACTGACAAAGAGGGCTTTGTGATGCCATCCAAATTCCCAGGACTGGGCCTTTGGCAGGACACCAGAGCAGCAAAAAGGGGGCTCGGATAGCGCTGAACCATCAGAAACCCTCATCCACTTGGTGCCTCCTCTCAGGACGCTGCTGATTTGCCCTGATGTTCCTCAAGAAGTTTAGGAATTGTTACATCATGGAACAACCCTTCTCCAGTGGGAAATACATTCACATCATCATCATTATTATCATTCTCATAGAATCATAGAATCATAGAATCAAAGAGTTGGAAGAGACCTCATGGGCCATCCAGTCCAACCCCATTCTGCCAAGAAGCAGGAATATTGCATTCAAAGCACCCCTGACAGATGGCCATCCAGACTCTGCTTAAAAGCTTCCAAAGAAGGAGCCTCCACCACACTCCGGGGCAGAGAGTTCCACTGCTGAACGGCTCTCACAGTCAGGAAGTTCTTCCTCATGTTCAGATGGAATCTCCTCTCTTGTAGTTTGAAGCCATTGTTCCGCGTCCTAGTCTCCAGGGCAGCAGAAAACAAGCTTGCTCCCTCCTCCCTGTGGCTTCCTCTCACATATTTATACATGGCTATCATATCTCCTCTCAGCCTTCTCAGGATTTATGTACAGTATTTATATTCTGCTCTTCTCACCCTGCAGGGGACTCAGGGCGGATCACAATGCACATATAGATAGCAAACATTCAATGCCATAGACATATAACATCTATAGACAGACACAGAGGCAATTTAACATTCCAGCTTTCCAGCTTCATGAGGGTTATGCTCGAAGTCAGCCACTGGGGGAGCTGCTACTTCACTGTCCCCTTGTGACACCGAGTCCTTGATGGGGTACTTCCTCATTCTTACCCATGCTGCTGGAAGGTTTTATGGCATTGTAAGTTAAATTAGCCTCCCCGCATAAAGCAGTACCTAAATTTCCTACTTGAAAGATGCAACTGTCTTTTGGGCTGCATAGCAAGTTAGACTATTAATGGTTGGGAGCTCACTCCGACCTGGGCTGGCTTCGAACCCATGATCTCTCGGTCAGTAGTGATTTAATGCAGCTGGCTACTAACTAGCTGTGCCACAGCCCAGTCTATTTTATTAACTCCAGCCACAGGGAGAGCTGCCACTTCACCGTCCACTTGTGACACCGAGTTCTTGATGGAGTACTTCCTCATTCTTACACACTGCTGGAAGTTTTATGGTGTTGTAAATTAGTTAAATTAGCCTCCCCACATAAAGCGGTACCTAAATTTCCTACTTGACAGATGCAACTGTCTTTCGGGCTGCATAGGTCAACAGCAAGCTAGACTATTAATGGTCAGGAGCTCACTCTGACCCGGGCTGGCTTTGAACTCATGACCTCTCAGTCAGTAGTGATTTAATGCAGCTGGCTACTAACTAGCTGTGCCACAGCCCAGTCTATTTTATTAACTCCGGCCACAGGGAGAGCTGCCACTTCACCGTCCATTTGTGACACCGAGTCTTGATGGAGTACTTCCTCATTCTTACACACTGCTGGAAGCTTTTATGGCTTTGTAAATTAGTTAAATTAGCCTCCCCACAAAAAGCAGTACCTAAATTTCCTACTTGACAGATGCAACTGTCTTTCGGGCTGCATAGGTCGACAGCAAGCTAGACTATTAATAGTCGGGAGCTCACTCCGCCCCTGGTTGGCTTCGAACCCATGATCTCTTGGTCAGTAGTGATTTAATGCAGCTGGCTACTAACTAGCTGTGCCACAGCCCAGTCTATTTTATTAACTCAAGCCACAGGGAGAGCTGCCACTTCACCGTCCATTTGTGACACCGAGTTCTTGATAGAGTACTTCCTCATTCTTACCCATGCTGCTGGAAGGTTTTATGGCACTGTAAATTAAATTAGCCTCCCTGCATAAAGCAGTACCTAAATTTCCTACTTGAAAGATGCAACTGTCTTTCGGGCTGCATAGGTCGACAGCAAGCTAGACTATTAATGGTTGGGAGCTCACTCTGACCCAGGTTGGCTTTGGACTGGATGGTCCTACTCTATGACTCTTTGAACTTGCACTTGCTGAAAGTACAGCTAACTATTGACATCCTCCAGAAAGGACACAAACATACCACCGCTACTACAGGTCATACATGAGTGTACCCTTACTACCCTATTTACTCAAATCTAATGCTCACCTTTTTTGGCTAAAATTGCTTTGCCAAAAAAAAGGGTGTGCATTAGATTCACATATTACAGTAAAAGGAGAAGTCCCTACAGCAGCAGCTGGAGCTCCTGTTTGAGGAATACCCCCTCTAATTTGATGCTATGCAATCCTGGGATTTGTAATTTGGTGAGGTATCAGCATTCTCTTGGCCGAGAAAGTTCAACGCCTTGTCAAACTACCTTTGGCCTTAACCCGACAAACATAAACTCACCTAGCTCCCATAAACCATCAGCTTTAACCCAATAGTCACACATTCACTCAGTTCATGCAAACCATCAGCCTTAACCCAACGGACACAAGCTCACTCAACACTGGCAAAAGTTTGGCTTTAACCCAGTGAACATAAACTCACTGTTTGCAAATCATCAGCCTTAACCCAATGAACACAAAGTCATTCAGACATCCCGAAAAACCTACAACATTCATTCAGTCCATACCTAACTATCAGCCTTAACCCAACGGACACAAGCTCACTCAACGTTGACAAACCTTTGGCCTTAACTCAATGGGCACAAGCTCACCTAGCTCTTATAAACAATTGGTCTTAACCCAAAGGACACACACTCATTCAGTTCCTACAAACCTTTGACCTTAACCCAATGGACGCAAGCTCACTTAGCTCCCCTAAACCACCAGGCTTAACCCAATGGACACACATTCATGAAGTTCATACAAACCTTCGGCCTTAACCCAATGGGCACAAGCTCACTCAACTTTGACAAACCATCAGCCTTAACCCAATGGGCACAAGCTCACTCAACTTTGACAAACCATCAGCCTTAACCCAATGGGCACAAGCTCACTCAACTTTGACAAACCATCAGCCTTAACCCAATGGGCACAAGCTCACTCAACTTTGACAAACCATCAGCCTTAACCCAATGGGCACAAGCTCACTCAACTTTGACAAACCATCAGCCTTAACCCAATGGGCACAAGCTCACTCAACTTTGACAAACCATCAGCCTTAACCCAATGGGCACAAGCTCACTCAACTTTGACAAACCATCAGCCTTAACCCAATGGGCACAAGCTCACTCAACTTTGACAAACCATCAGCCTTAACCCAATGGGCACAAGCTCACTCAACTTTGACAAACCATCAGCCTTAACCCAATGGGCACAAGCTCACTCAACTTTGACAAACCATCAGCCTTAACCCAATGGACACAAGTTCACTCAACTTTGACAAACCTTCGGCCTTAACCCAATGGACGCAAGCTCACTTAGCTCCCCTAAACCACCAGGCTTAACCCAATGGACACACATTCATGAAGTTCATACAAACCTTCGGCCTTAACCCAATGGGCACAAGCTCACTCAACTTTGACAAACCATCAGCCTTAACCCAATGGGCACAAGCTCACTCAACTTTGACAAACCATCAGCCTTAACCCAATGGGCACAAGCTCACTCAACTTTGACAAACCATCAGCCTTAACCCAATGGGCACAAGCTCACTCAACTTTGACAAACCATCAGCCTTAACCCAATGGGCACAAGCTCACTCAACTTTGACAAACCATCAGCCTTAACCCAATGGGCACAAGCTCACTCAACTTTGACAAACCATCAGCCTTAACCCAATGGGCACAAGCTCACTCAACTTTGACAAACCATCAGCCTTAACCCAATGGGCACAAGCTCACTCAACTTTGACAAACCATCAGCCTTAACCCAATGGGCACAAGCTCACTCAACTTTGACAAACCATCAGCCTTAACCCAATGGGCACAAGCTCACTCAACTTTGACAAACCATCAGCCTTAACCCAATGGGCACAAGCTCACTCAACTTTGACAAACCATCAGCCTTAACCCAATGGGCACAAGCTCACTCAACTTTGACAAACCTTCGGCCTTAACCCAATGGACGCAAGCTCACTTAGCTCCCCTAAACCACCAGGCTTAACCCAATGGACACACATTCATGAAGTTCATACAAACCTTCGGCCTTAACCCAATGGGCACAAGCTCACTCAACTTTGACAAACCATCAGCCTTAACCCAATGGGCACAAGCAAACCTTCAGCCTTAACCCAATGGACACAAGCTCACTTAGCTCCTCTAAACCATTGGTCTTAACCCAATAGACACACATTCATGAAGTTCATACAAACCGCCTTCGTCTCAGGTACGTTTGGCGGGGACGAGAGACAGTGCCTTCTCAGCAGTGGCCCCATGGCTATGGAACGCCCTCCCTAGAGAGATTAGATCTGCTCCCTCCCTTCTCACGTTTCGGAAGCAAGTCAAAACATGGCTGTTTGAGCAAGCGTTCTCAAACACAGAGTAACGGATATGGCTAAATGACATAGGAATGGACGATTGACGATGGAACTGGACAATGCTTGATGATAAGGAGATGCTAATTATGTTGTTTTTATTGTATGTAACTGAAATGCTTTAAAATGTTCTATGATACTGTGTATACTGTTTTGTTGGAAACCGCCTTGAGTCGCCGATTGGCTGAGAAAGGCGGTATACAAATACAGTAAATAAATAATAAATAAATAACCATCAACCTTAACCCAATGAACACAAAGTTACCCAGAAATCATCAGCCTCAACCCAACAGATACAAGCTCACTTAGTCCCCTATAAACCATCAGCCTTAACCCACATACATTCACTTAGCTCCTCTAAACCATCAGCCTCAATACAACAGACACATATTCATGAAGATCATACAAACCATCTGCCTTAACCCAATGGACACAAACTCACCATGTGCAAACCTTCTGCCTTAACCCAACAGACACAAGCTCACTAAACTTTGACAAGCATTCGGCCTTAACCCAATGGACAAAAGCTCACTTAGCTCCTCTAAACCACCAGGCTTAACTCAACGGACACACATTCATTCATTGACCTCACATCTCTGAGGATGCTTGCCATAGATGCAGGTGAAACGTCAGGAGAGAATGCCTCTAGAACATGGTCATATAGCCCGAAAAACCTACAACATTCATTCAATTCATAACTAACTATCAGGCTTAACCCAATGGACACAAGCTCACTCAACGTTGACAAACCTTTGGCCTTAATCCAATGAACATAAGCTCACTTAGCTCCTATAAACGATTGGTCTTAATCCAAAGGACACACACTCATTCAGTTCCGACAAACCTTTGACCTTAACCCAATGGATGCAAAATCACTTAGCTCCTCTAAACCACCAGGCTTAACCCAATGGACTCACATTCATGAAAATCATACAAACCATCTGCCTTAACCCAATCGACACAAGCTCACTCAACTTTGACAAACATTTGACCTTAACCCAGTGGACACAAGCTCACTTAGCTCCTCTAAACCACCAGGCTTAACCCAAAGGACACACATTCGTTCAGTTCATACAAACCATCAGCCTTGACCCAATGAACACGAAGTTACCCAGAAATCATCAGCCTAACCCAACAGATACAGGCTCAATTAGCCCCTAAAAACCATCAGGCTTAACCCACATATATTCATTCTGCTCCTATAAACCATCAGCCTTAACACAACAGACTGACAGACTGTAGGATATAAATAGTAATAGTAAATAACCACTCACAAGCCGGCTTGCTTTGAAATGGATATATTGCTTGTATCTCTGCAGCAAAGAAAGACACTACTGACTTTTTCCCACCATCACTTCCTTTTATACACCTTTCCTGCCCATCTTCTCGGTTCCCTTATTAGAACTGATTGCTTCACAAGTTCCATAACATGGTTTCCAGCCCCCTCTGCTGGCTTCAGAATGACACAGAGAGCAGTGGTTCAGTTGAGATGATTCAGTCAGGATGTCACGGAGGGAATTTGTGATGTCTTCATGCCGTCAGAAATTGATTCCTGACACAGACACACATTCATGAAGTCCATACAACCCAATGGACACAAGCTCACTCAACTTTGACAAACCTTTGGCCTTAACCCAGTGGACACAAGCTCACTTAACTCCTCTAAACCACCAGGCTTAACCCAATGGATACACATTTGTTCAGTTCATACAAACCTTTGGCCTTAACCCAATGGACACAAGCTCACTTAGCTCCTCTAAACCATCAGTCTTAACCCAATGGACACAAATTCATTCAGTTCATACAAACCATCAGCGTTAACCCAACGGACACAGGCTCATTCATCTGTTTCTATTCATTCACTCATCCGTCCATTTTCCCATGTTCTCCCCAATCTCAGATGCAGGTTTTTACCCCCTTTTCCAGGACAAAGGAAGCCCCCTCTTCACCACGCACTGAGCAGTCCTTCACTAGACCTCCCTTATGTGTTGTTTCAATGCCCTGCCAAACACATATCAACACCACATTCGTTTTGGGGGACTCTGCATACCACAATGGCATCACTGGCACCGGTGGAAAGGAAGATGTTATCTGGGTTGCAGGGAACGCCTCCATCGCGGCGTTCGATGAAGCGGGCCACGTCTTGGCGGATGAGCTCAATGCCTGGGCTGGCGCTGTAGGCCCCTGGAAGGGAGATGGAGAGAAGGGCCTTGAGGACACAGCACATGCTTGTTGTCAGATCATAATACCCACCCCAAAGAAAAGCTCTACAGTTCACCAAGGGCTACACTATATATATATCTGGCTGTTTCCCAGTCAGAGCAATCACCATAATTCATTGTTCATAATTCACACAGAGACAAACAGTTTCTCATGTCAGTCTAGATATGCCAGGAAATGTTTGTTGAGTTAAATGACCAACTTGAAGCTGAGAGATTGCTGTCTGCAGAAATTGAGGCTCGGAGTATGTACATTCAAAAAGATCTTTATTTGTAGCCCAACCCTTGATTGCTGAGATCAACACATTTTGTCTTAGGTGATGTACTTGCATTTCTTTTGGCCAAACCGAATAAACTTCTCTGGCCTGTCTTCAACCTGGTGAATATTTGTCTGTCCTGGCCCATTCGGTTTAGCATACGCTCACCAGGCATGGATTCTTTTAGCTGTGGTCCTAGCTTCACAAACAGTCCTCTAGTTGTGAACAAGATAGGTTCTGTCGGTTTGTTCTTAAGATGAAGTTGTAAGTAAGTTGGAACAGATACAGCTTTTAAGTCCAACTCCTGATATATATATATATATATATATATATATATATATATATATATATGGATAGCATAAGGAAGGGTTCAGAAAAGATGTCTCCTTCCAAGGTTATCCCATCAGCTGAGTTGGTGAATCCCAAGCTGACATTTCCCCGTGAAAGGGAATCCCCACTTGAAGGTTGCAATATCTGCACACCTCTCAACCAATGAGGGTGCAATACCAGCCCTTCTCTTGGCCAATCAGGGAAGGAAGTGGGAGTTTTGAATAGCTGTCAAACTGTATAAGACATCTTTCTTTCTCTATTTGTTTTCATGTTTGTACATTTTGAAGCATCTGCTGGTGCTTGCATCTCTTTCGGCTGAACTGAATAAACCTCTGTGGCTTGTCTTCAACCTGGTGAGCGTTTTCTGTCCTGGCCCATTCGGTTTAGCATATGCTCACCTGGCACAGATCCTTTACCCGAGGCCCTAGTTATCCACGACATATTTTAGACGAATCCCTTTTTCTGCTATTTGAACACATAGTTCCATTGCACATCTGTTTCTGGAGCACTGGGAAACAAGTCTCCCTTCTCCTCAATGGAATGTCCATTTTAGTCATTAGACCTGGTTCTCATGTCCTCTTCTCTCCACCTCTACGAAGCTCTAGGTGCTCTTACTGCCTATTACAGGAAAACCAGCTGATCCCTAATCCATCTAAAACACAGACATGTGCTTTTCATCTCAAGAACAGGCAAGCATCCCGAGCTCTGAGGATTATTACCTGGGAAGGAATCCCACTGGAGCATTGCAGCACACCCAAATACCTGGGAGTCACTTTGGACCGTGCTCTGACCTACAAGAAGCATTGCCTGAACATCAAGCAAAAAGTGGGCGCTAGAAATAATATCATACGAAAGCTGACTGGCACAACCTGGGGATCACAACCAGACACAGTGAAGACATCTGCCCTTGCGCTATGCTACTCTGCTGCTGAGTATGCATGCCCAGTGTGGAACACATCTCACCACGCTAAAACAGTGGATGTGGCTCTTAATGAGACATGCCACATTATCACGGGGTGTCTGCGCCCTACACCACTGGAGAAATTACACTGCTTAGCCGGTATTGTACCACCTGACATCCACCGGGAAGTAGCAGCCAATACTGAAAGGACCAAGGCAGTGACATCTCCAGCTCATCCCTTGTTTGGGTATCAGCCAGCACGTCAACGACTTAAATCAAGAAATAGTTTTCTAAGATCTACAGAGACACTCGCTGGAACACCCCAGCAAGCGAGAGTCCAAAAGTGGCAGGCTCAAACCCAGAACCTCAATCAATGGCTGATACCAGATGAGAGACTCCCCCCTGGGCACACAGAAAACTGGGCGACTTGGAAGGCGCTGAACAGACTGCGCTCTGGCACCACGAGATGCAGAGCCAACCTCAGAAATGGGGCTACAAAGTGGAATCCACGACATGCGAGTGTGGAGAAGAGCAAACCACTGACCACCTGCTGCAATGCAACCTGAGCCCTGCCACATGCACAATGGAGGACCTTCTTGCAGCAAAACGAGAAGCAGTCCAAGTGGCCAGATACTGGTCAAAGGACATTTAATCAACTACCAAGCTCGCAAATTTTGTGTCTTGTTTGTTTGTTTGTTTTCTTCTGTTAGAAATATAATACAATTGACTGGTTGCCCTGACACGACAAATAAATCCACCTTCTCTTCTACAAGCTAACTCTCTCAGCGGCTCCTCACTCATAGTTTCCAGACCTTTGACCCTTTTGGCTGCCCTTCTCTGGACACCTTCCATCTTGAATAGTCTTGCTCAGAACAGGACAGAAGGTCTTTGCAAGTGAAGTCTGACCAAAGCAGAAGATTGAGGGACGACAACTTTGCTCGATCTGGACACTATGCTCCTAATGATGCAGCCTAGACTCACATTGGCTTTTTCAGCTGTCTACGAAGACTCCTAATAGGGAAGGAATGCTGGAGGAAAGGTGGAAAACGCTCACCAATGCTGCGCCCACCACATGCAGCCAGCAACCTCCGCGCTTTCTCCTTGGCATCTTCTGGGAAGTTGGGGTCCTTCAAGAGCTCGGGGTACATGCAGAGCGCACTGACCTGCAAAGGGAGAGCTCCGGTGAAGCACTGCCTTCAACATCTCAGGCACATCCTCCCTCTCCGCCTCCACCACTCATTCCCTTCTCATCCACATATTTGTTTCCCTTTAATACATGTGCCGTCACGCCTGGGGGCTATTATTCTCAATAAAGGAGGGATGGACGTGGGCACCTTTCCCCCAGGGGATTGCTTCTTGCCCTGCTATAGGAAACTGGAACTCCCAAAAACCCAAAACGCTGTAAATAGCTCAAGACAAGTTTTATTGATCACAAAGTCATTCCTTCAAAGCAATGAGCTGGAAAACTTTAGAGGGGTGAAGGAAAACATATGTTACAGTCTCAATTAGTCCTGGGTCCAAGGGGTTTGAAGCTGAGAAGCCTCACCAAGTTTCCTCTTTCCTCAATGGCTGTGAATGCCGGAGCAAACCACAACCTCAGTTCAGATGGCCTATGTTTTGAAGATTCAGGATCTACCTTTGGTGCCAAAAGAACCGGCTTGAAGGCGCTTTGGACTCCTCAATAATTGTCCAGGACGATCTGGACATAAAGCATGAATCCCAGGGGTAAAAAACCTCAGAACTGATGCTAAGAGGTAACTTAAATCAGGGTCTTTAAGAATGAAGTCTCTTACTCACGTCCATCTGGTACGAACTCTGATGGCAGAATGAAAAGAAAAAGGAAGTTCTCCCCTCTTGTAGGAAGAGGTGGAGCCAAACAGTACTGATTGGCAGCTACAAGCAACCAATCCATACAATTATAAATAAGCAGTGTAAAAAGGGGCAGGATTAAGCATGATAGAACAGTTTAAGTCTTACAACTAACAGTTCTATACATAGGTGGCACCACTCGCCCTGTCACAATACACGTTGGTTGTGATAAAGCAACCACACTTTGCACATGGGCAGAGTGCTCTTTCCCTTCACTGCTTGGCTCAGGAATGCTTTTATTTTGAAGGAACAGAAGTGGATTTGGGGTGGTGATGATGGGAGGGAAATGGAGTGCAAACTATGGAAGACTCTCAGTTAACTATCAGGATGTTGGATAAGCTGGAAAAAATGTAGTTTCCGGTTGCTTGAGAGTGACTATTAAAAATAGGGTCTATATTATGCCCCATACTATACCATACCATAAACTGTGTATTGACTTAACATCAATACTAAATAATAACAATAATAATAATAATTGTTGTTGTTGTTGTTGTTATTGTATTTATTTATGCTCTGCTTTATCTCTCCTGAAGGCAACTTGAAATGGTACAGTAATTAAAAACAAATAACAACGAAGTCAATTTCATGCAAGTTTGCCATTTACTTGAAAATTAACTGAGAGTCTACTATACTGTACTTCTCCCTCCATTTGCAGCAATGGAAGTGAGCTGGGGACAAAGGAGGACGAGGAAGGAGCTGGGACATTTGAAAAATGGGATAGAGTCTACCATACTGTGCTTGTCACTCCATTTGCAGCAATGGAAGTGAGCTGGGGACAAAGGAGGATGAGGAAGGAGCTGGGGCATTTGAAAAATGGGATAGAGTCTACCATACTGTGCTTGTCGCTCCATTTGCAGCAATGGAAGTGAGCTGAGACAAAGGAGGATGAGGAAGGAGCTGGGGCATTTGAAAAATGGGATAGAGTCTACCACACTGTGCTTGTCACTCCATTTGCAGCAATGGAAGTGAACTGGGGACAAAGGAGGATGAGGAAGGAGCTGGGGCATTTGAAAAATGGGATAGAGTCTACCATACTGTGCTTGTTACTCCATTTGCAGCAATGAAAGTAAGCAGAGAACAAAGGAGGATGAGGAAGGAGCTGGGGCATTTGAAAAGTAGGATAGAGTCTACCATACTGTGCTTGTTGCTCTATTTGCAGCAATGGAAGTGAGCTGGGGACAAAGGAGGATGAGGAAGGAGCTGGGGCATTTGAAAAATGGGATAGAGTCTACCATACTGTGCTTGTCGCTCCATTTGCAGCAATGGAAGTGAACTGGGGACAAAGGAGGATGGGGAAGGAGCTGGGGCGTTTGAAAAGTAAGATAGAGTCTACCATCCTGTGCTTGTTGATCCATTTGCAGCAATGGAAGTGAGCTGAGGACAAAGGAGGATGAGGAAGGAGCTGGGGCATTTGAAAAATGGGATAGAGTCTACCATACTGTGCTTGTCACTCCATTTGCAGCAATGGAAGTGAGCTGAGGACAAAGGAGGATGAGGAAGGAGCTGGGGCATTTGAAAAATGGGATAGAGTCTACCATACTGTGCTTGTTGCTCCATTTGCAGCAATGGGAATAAGCTGAGGACAAAGGAGGATGAGGAAGGAGCTAGGGCATTGGAAAAGTGGGATAGCATCTTCCATACTGTGCTTGTTGCTCCATTTACAGCAATGGAAGTGAGCTGGGGACAAAGGAGGAAAGGTAAGAAGCCGGGGCATTTGAAAAGTAGCTGAAAAAGTGGGATGGCAGAGGATGACTTGCTAGTCTTTTTGCCTAATAGAGACAGTTGGCGGGCAAGACATTCCCACCTTTCAGTATTTTAAGTTGGGTATTGAAGGGTCTATCTGCCAGGTTTGGTCCAGATACGTCATGGAATGGAGGCACCTTTGTGATATCAACCAACCAACATGCATCGATACTTTGACTTCTATAGAGATCTGGCATGGGCAAACTTGGGCCCTCCAGGTGTTTTTGGACGTTGACTCTCCCAATTCCTAACAGGCTACTCGGAGGGCCCAAGTATAGAGAGATCAAGGCCCTTACCTGTCGGAAGAAGGTGATAGGCTTCTGCCCCATGGCTTGGGCATCCCCGATGTTGGCTCGGATGACCTCCGAGAAGGGCTTCTTTACCCCCTGCAGTGAAGAAAGACAATATGGGGAAGGGGAAAAGGGGCACACAAAGGCAGCCAGGTGAGCAACTCTGGGTTATGCCCCATATCTCCAGCAAGAGGCATCACTTACTGTGCTGTCTTTGAACAGGATGTGCTCTTTGTGCCCAGTGGGAAGCCGGGGTGCCTCAGCTGAGAGGCCCTAAGGATTTTCCTATACAAAAGTCTTTAGATGCTTGAAAAGTTTAACAAAGTCCTTTATTATTGCTTAGATCTTCAACAATTTAAACAAACACTTCTCAGATCTTCAACAAGTCAAACAAAGGCTTCTTAACTTGCCCAAATGGACAGGTAACTGGCTTCGTGAACTGTTTCTTTTCTTTTGAGAGGAAAACCCTTTTTAACCCCTCCCAGGCAATCTACTTTCTATGCTTGCTGGTGTGGGCTCTACTCCCGGCTCCAATTGCTTCTGGCTACCTGAGTAGACCTACCAGCCAAGGCTTTGTAGATTCTCCAGCTGGAGTTTTTTTGGATCTTTTCCAAGAAAGATGTGGAGCTGTTTTCCCCGGATGCTTCTGTTTCCCCCGGATGCTGTGAGAAACGAAGCTTCTCTACAGATGGAGCTGATCCACGTCCTGTAGCTAAGCTTTCCAATAGAAGACCGAACTAAAAATGGTTCCCTTTCCCTCCCAGAGCCCTGGAAAAAGGGGCGGAACCAAAACTTAACAATGATAGACAGGTCATTGGCCCTATAATTGCAAACCAAGGGAAGTCACCTTTTGCAAAATGCACGGAACCTTGGAATATATGCAAACACTCAATAGAAAGAAAAGGAAGTTGGAGCTCCTGGTACAGCCGTACCATAGAATCATAGAATCAATCATAGAATCAAAGAGTTGGAAGAGACCTCCTGGGCCATCCAGTCCAACCCCATTCTGCCAAGAAGCAGGAATACTGCATTCAAATCACCCCTGACAGATGGCCATCCAGCCTCTGTTTAAAAGCTTCCAAAGAAGGAGCCTCCACCACACTCCGGGGCAGAGAGTTCCACTGCTGAACGGCTCTCACAGTCAGGAAGTTCTTCAGATGGAATCTCCTCTCTTGTAGTTTGAAGCCATTGTCCTGCGTCCTAGTCTCCAAGGAAGCAGAAAACAAGCTTGCTCCCTCCTCCCTGTGGCTTCCTCTCACATATTTATACATGGCTATCATATCTCCTCTCAGCCTTCTCTTCCTCAGGCTAAACATGCCCAGTTCCTTAAGCCGCTCCTCATAGGGCTTGTTCTCCAGACCCTTGATCATTTTAGTCGCCCTCCTCTGGACACACCAGCACACTTACAGTCAGGTTTGTACTTTGAGTTGAGTCCAAAAACCTGGAAAAGCACTAGGAGGGACCTTAAAGGTCATCTAGTCCACCCCATGCCACCAAATGTAACCTCTTGCTTTTGCAATCTCTTTGCTTGCATCAGTGGCCATTTCAAATCTTTTGCTACTTTCTGGAGGTGAAGCGGTGTCACCTGCATATCAAAACACTCACAGGACATTCTGCTCACAAAATCCCCATGGCTTTTCCCGTTTGATGCAAACCCGTTCGGGATGCAAATTCCTGAAGAGTCCAGAGTCCAAAAACCTGGAAAGAACATTTCCCCTCCAGACAAGGGACAGACTTCTCCACGCCACACCTGAATTCCTCCTGGTCACATTCTTCCATAGCCACAACTGCTGGCCTCTCTTAATGGCCCCTTCCTAATCTGCAGCCTCTGTTTACTCATGATAGAAGGAAGGGCTAATGCACTTTGAAGCCAGATGCCAGCAGAGGGGTGGAAAATATTGAAATTACATATAGGGGTTGCCAACTTACTGAGGGCCTGTGCTTGTAGGAATACTTTGCTTTTGCATTACACTAAACTACTGTGAAATAAAAGACATAGGAGAAGACCAAGACCATTATTCTGGTAAGTTGGCAACACTGAAATGGCAGGTGAGTTTGGGTAGGGCCTGGCAAAACTGGGACAGTCCTGGTGGGCAGCTCCTTTTGACTTGCTGCAACTCCGGCGTGAGCTTGACAGGGGGAGTGTGTCCCTGTTGGTTCTGCTGGACCTCTCAGCGGCCTTCGATACCGTCGACCACGGTATCCTTCTGGGGCGTCTTGCGGAGATGGGCCTCGGGGGCACTGTTCTACAGTGGCTCCAGTCATTTCTGGAGGGTCGCACCCAGAAGGTGTTATTGGGGGACACCTGTTCAACGCCACAGCCTTTGACTTGTGGGGTTCCACAGGGCTCTATACTGTCCCCCATGCTGTTTAATATCTACATGAAGCCGCTGGGAGAGATCATCCGGAGTTTCGGGGTGCGGTGTTATCTGTACGCAGATGATGTCCAACTCTGTCACTCCTTTCCACCTGCTACTAAGGAGGCTGTCCAGGTCCTGAACCGGTGCTTGGCCGCTGTGACGGTCTGGATGAGGGCGAACAAATTGAAATTGAATCCAGACAAGACAGAGGTACTCCTGGTCAGTCGGAAGGCCGAACAGGGTATAGGGTTACAGCCTGTGTTGGACGGGGTCGCACTCCCCCTGAAGACGCAGGTTCGCAGCTTGGGTGTGACTCTGGATTCTTCGCTAAGCTTGGAACCCCAAGTTTCAGCGGTTTCCAGAGGAGCATTTGCACAGCTTCGGCTCGTGCGCCAGCTGCGCCCGTATCTTGGGAAGTTGGACTTGGCCACGGTAGTCCACGCTCTCGTCACATCCCGCATAGATTACTGCAACGCGCTCTACGTGGGGTTGCCCTTGAAGACTGCCCGGAAGCTTCAGATGGTCCAGCGCTCGGCAGCCAGGTTGCTAACGGGAGCGGCACTCAGGGAGCACACCACTCCTCTGTTGAGCCAGCTCCACTGGCTGCCAATTTGCTACCGGGCACAATTCAAGGTGCTGGCTTTAGCCTATAAAGCCCTAAATGGTTCCGGCCCCACTTACCTCTCCGAACGCATCTCCACCTATGAACCGAGGACGTTAAGATCGTCCGGGGAGGCCCTGCTCTCGGTCCCGCCAGCGTCACAAGCGCGGTTGGCGGGGACGAGAGACAGGGCCTTCTCGGTGGTGGCCCCTCGGCTATGGAATGCCCTACCAGTGGACATCAGGCAGGCCCCTTCGTTGCTGGTGTTTCGGAGGAGGGTTAAGACGTGGCTCTATGAGCAGGCATTCGGATAACTATGCAATGACAACTAACTCAGTAAGACGGCATTTGAACAAGGAACGAAAAAGGACTGTGAGAACGGGATCTGATTCTAATTGAGGCGTTGATGACTATATGTGTGTTGTTTGTGTATGTGTGTCTTATATATTGTCAGTGTTGCTTATTTTTATTGTAAACCGCATTGAGTCGCCGCTAGGCTGATAAATGCGGTATACAAATGGAGTAAATAAATAAATAAATAAATAAATAACTCTTTCTGACCTGTTGCACCTCTCCCTTACCTGGCTACATCTCTTCCTTACTTGATTCAGCCCTTCCTTACCTGCCTGCATCTCTCCCTTACCTGGTTCCATTTCTTCCTTACCTGATGCAGCCCTTTCTTACCTGCTGCATCTCTCCCACATTTCCTTACCTGCTTGCAGCCCTCCTTTACCTGCTGAAAAACTTTGCAGGTACCTTACCTCCTTTAGCTTTCACTTGTTGCAGAACTTCCTTATCTACTTCCTCACCTGACTGCATCTCTTCTTTACCTGCTTGCAGCCCCCCTTTACCTGTTGCAGTACTTCCTTGCCTGTTGCAGCTCTTTTGTACCTGCTGCATCTCTCCCACACTCTGCCCCCAGAGTGTGGTGGAGGTCCTTCTTTGGAAGCTTTGAAACAGAGGCTAGATGGCCATCTGTCGGGGGTGCTTTGGATGCGATTTTCCTGCTCCTTGGCAGAAAGGGGTTGGACTGGATGATAGCTCAACAGGTCTCTTCCAACTCTAGGATTCTATGATTCCCTACCTGCTACAGTTCTTCCGTCCCTGCTGCATCTCTCCCTCACCTGGCTGCATCTCTTCCTTACCTGCTTGCAGCCCTTCTTTACCTGCTGCAGTACTTCCTTACCTGCTTTAACTTTTCCCCACTTGTTGCAGAACTTCCTTACCTACTGCATCTCTCCCTCACCTCACTGCACCTCTTCCTTACCTGCTGCAGCTCTTTCGTACCTGCTGCATCTCTCCCACACTTTGCCCCAGAGTATGGTGTAGGCTCCTTCTTTGGAGGCTTTGAAACAGAGACTAGATGGTCATCTGTAGGGGTACTTTGAGTGCAATTTTCCTGCTCCTTAGCAGAAAGGGGTTGGACTGGATGATGGCCCACCAGGTCTCTTCCAACTATAGGATTCTAGGATTCCTTACCTGCTACAGCTCTTTCGTACCTGCTGCATCTCTCCCTCACCTGGCTGCATCTCTTCCTTACCTGCTTGCAGCCCTCCTTTACCTGCTGCAGTACTTCCTTGCCACCTTTAGCTCTCCCTCACTTGTTGCAGAACTTCCTTACCTGTTGCATCTCCCCCTCACCTGGCTGCATCTCTTCCTTACCTGCTTTAGCTCTCCCTTACTTGTTGCATGTCTTCCTTACCTGTTGCAGCCCATTCTTACCTGCTGCAGCTCTTTCATACCTCCTGCATCTCTCCCACACTCTGCCCCAGAACTTCCTGACTGTGAGAGCTGTTCAGCAGTGGAACTCTCTGCCCTGGAGTGTGGTGGAGGCTCCTTCTTTGGAAGCTTTGAAACAGAGGCTGGATGGCCATCTGTCAGGGGGATTTGAATGCAATATTCCTGCTTCTTGGCAGAATGGGTTTGGACTGGATGATGGCCTACCAGGTCTCTTCCAACTCTATGATTCTAGGATTCCTTACCTGCTGCATCCCTCCCTCACCTGGGTGCAGCTCTTCCTTACCTGCTCCATCTCTTCCTTACCTGCTTTAACTCTCCCTTACTTGTTACATCTCTTTCTAACCTACTGCATCTCTTCCTTACCTGCTTGCAGCCCTTCTTTACCTGCTGCAGTACTTCCTTACCTGCTTTAGCTCTCTCTTACTTGTTCTAGCTCTTCCTTACCTGTGCATCTCTTCCTTACCTGCATGCAGCCCTCCTTTACCTGCTGCAGTACTTCCTTACTGCTTTAGCTCTCCCTTACTTGTTGCATCTCTTCCTTACCTGCTTGCAGCCCTCCTTTACCTGATGCAGTACTTTCTTACTTGCTTTAGCTCTTCCTTACTTGTTGCATCTCTTCCTTACTTGTTGCATCTCTTCCTTACCTGCTTGCAGCCCTTCTTTACCTGCTGCAGTACTTCCTTGCCTGCTTTAACTCTCCCTTACTTGTTGCATCTCTTCCTTACCTGTTGCATCTCTTCCTTACCTGCTTGCAGCCCTTCTTTACCTGCTGCAGTACTTCCTTGCCTGCTTTAACTCTCCCTTACTTGTTGCATCTCTTCCTTACCTGTTGCATCTCTTCCTTACCTGCTTGCAGCCCTCCTTTACCTGCTGCAGTACTTCCTTGCCTGCTTTAACTTTCCCTTACTTGTTGCAGCTCTTCCTTACCTGCTGCATCTCTCCCTTACCTGCTGCATCTCTTTCGTACCTGTCACAGCTCTTCCTGACCTGCCACAGCTCTTTCTTACCTGCTGTAGCTCCTTCTCCAGCTGGACGGCGCGGGTGACGATGGGCCCCCGGACGGCGTACTCCACCCTCTTGACGCAGGGGTTCATGGACTCCAGGGTCAGGACCCTGTCCCGTTGGCGGGGAAGACCATTCTCCGCCATCCTCGCCCGGCCAGCTGGTTGGCACACGCCTCTGCGGAGAAAGAGGGGCAGAGAGCTGAGCAAAGGGGGCACCAACTCATTCACCCTGGCAAAGCAGCCCAGGAGCGCCTTGGCAGTGCCACGCCTGGGCATCGCTCTTGTGCGGAAGCGCTGCAGGTGAGGCTAAAGTCCGGCCAAGCAGGACTTCAACCCAGGTGGCAAAGGTCTGGCCGTTCCCAGACTGGCGAGCCGTGCGGAGAGGAATGGGAGGCCCCTTGATATTTGCATTTCAAGATCCGAGCTGGCATTTTTGCAAAACTAAAGAGAGAAACATTTACCCAACCCAGCAGTTTGCGACTTGGCCGCCATCCTTGAGCGACCTACCCAAAGCAGGAGCTCCTCCAAGGCAAGGCAAGAGCAAAGGGAGCCCGCAGCTGCTTTTAATGCAGGGCAGGAGAGAGGAGGCGGCGGCTCCGGGGAGGGAAGAAAGGGGCACATTGTTGGCCGGGACTGAAAGGGACTCCACTGCAAACAAAGGCCCAAAGGAACAAGGCCCCCTCCGTCCCTTTTGTGCTCCCCGTGGAGCCTTTCACCGGCTCTGGGCTCATTGCCTGCCTCGGGATGGGGAAGCAGAGGGGCCCCTTCTCCTTGGCAGCAGCCATGAGCACTTGCCAACGAAAAGGGAATGTGGGTTTGTGTTGCGGCAGCCAAAAAAGCCAATGCGATTCTAGGCTGCATCAGTAAGATTGCAGTGTCAACATCAAGGGAAGTACCGTTCCCACTACTCTTGCGCTTTAGCCAGCTCTAGACAAAGCCATGCAAGAAGGAGATGGGTCAGTGGGAAGGGGTCCCAAGAAGGGGCGGGGGGCAAAAGGGTCAAAGGTATGGAAACTATGGATCGCTCTAAGGAGCACCTTGGGAAAAAAGGTTGAGATGGAACATGGTAAAGGTTTCCCCTGATATTAAGTCCAGTTGTGGAACATAAATCTATATAAATAAAAATGTAATGTTTGTTTGCGGGATTCACAGAACTCGAAAACCACTGGACGAATTGGCACCAAATTTGGACACAAGACACTTAACAACCCAATGTATGTCCTTCACTCAAAACATTGATTTTGTCATTTGGGAGTTGTAGTTGCTGGGATTTATAGTACACCTACAATCAAAGAGCATTCTGAACCCCACCAATGATGGAATTGAACCAATCTTGGCACACAGAACTTCCAAATGACAAAATACATCTTGCATATTGGATATTTACAAGATGATTCATAACAGGAGCAAAATTATAGTTGTGAAGCAGCAATGAAAATAATGTTATGGTTGGGGGTCACCACAACATAAGGAACTATATTAAGGGGTCACGGCATTAGGAAGGTTGAGAAACACTAGCCTAGAGTTTTCTTAGACAAGGTAACTTTGGAGGTGTTTTTGCCAATTCCTTCCTCTGAAATAGAGTCTACGGCATCTGATATCATCATCATCATCATCATTAGGGCCCTCTTTCCTCACCTGGTGTTTCATGCCCAGATGGCCAAAGGGCCACTTTCCTTTTCCGATGGCAACCTCATGCCATGTTGGAGGCTGAATGAGGCACCAGAACGTGACACGTCATCATGGAACAAAGTGGAATTACTTGGGCAGAATGTTACAGGGCATTTCCAGGGTAACCAAAGAGAACAAGAGTTATGTGTGGGTGATGCAACTCCCATCATCCCTGAGCTGTGAGAGTCTGGGAAGTGTGGTCCAAAAGGGTCGCTCCCAGAAGGTGTCATTGAGAGACACCTGTTCAACCCCACAACCATTGTCTTGTGGCGTTCCTCAGGGCTCAATACTGTCTCCCATGTTGTTTAACATCTACTTGAAGCTGCTGGGTGAGATCATCCAGAGTTTCGGGGTGTGGTGTCACCTGTACGCAGATGACATCCAACTCTGTCACTCCTTCCAAACCTCTACTAAGGAGGCTGTTCAGGTCCTGAACCGGTGCTTGGCTGCTGTGACGGTCTGGATGAGGGTGAACAAATTGAAGCTGGAAAAAGAGAATGAACACGCCGAACTCCTCTGGACTTCCGCATTCAGACAGACAGAGTTTTGGAGCACAATACTCCTGACCTCACAATTGTGGGGGGGAAACAAGTATGGATCGTTGATGTTGCAATCCCAGGCGACAGCAGGATTTAAGAGAAACAATTGGAAAAGCAGACAGGATATGAGGTTTTAAAGATCGAACTGTACAAGCCAGTCAAGGTGGTCCCAGTGGTGATCGGCACACTGGCCACTTTACTGGGATCTGCAGGCATTATTTGCCGATACATCACACAGTCCTAGACACTTGGGAAGTGTCTGACGTGTGATCCAATTCAACAGCCAGCAGAGTGTCTGCTGTGGACTCATCTTGTTGTGTTTCAATAATAATAATAGTTCTTGTGGGTTTTTTCGGGCTATAGGGCCATGTTCTAGAGGCATTTCTCCTGACGTTTTGCCTGCATCTATGGCAAGCATCCTCAGAGGTAGTGAGGTCTGTTGGAATTAGGAAAAGGGGTTTATATATCTGTGGAATGGCTGGGGTGGGGCAAAGAGCTCTTCTCTGCTGGAGCTAGGTGTGAATGTTTCAACTGACCACCTTCATTAGCATTTGAAGGCCTGGCTGAGCCTGGGAAAATCTTTTGTTGAGAGGTGTTAATCTGTGCCTGGTTGTTTCCTCTCTGCTGTTTTGCTGTTGTAATTTTAGAGTTTTTTTAATACTGGTAGCCAGATTTTGTTCATTTTCATGGTCTCTTCCTTTCTGTTGAAATTGTCCACATGCTTCTTGTGGATTTCAATGGCTTCTCTGTGTAGCCTGACATGGTGGTTGTTGGTGTGGTCCAGCATTTCTGTGTTCTCAAATAATATGCTGTGTCCAGGCTGGTTCATCAGGTGCTCTGCTATGGCTGACTTCTCTGGTTGAAGGAGTTTGCAGTGCCTTTCCTTTTCCTTGATTCTAAAATTACAACAGGAAAACAGCAGAGAGGAAACAACCAGGCACATCTTAACACCTCTCAACAAAAGATTTTCCCAGGCTCAGCCAGGCCTTCAAATGCTAATGAAGGTGATCAGTTGAAACATTCACACCTAGCTCCAGCAGAGAAGAGCTCTTTGCCCCACCCCAGCCATTCCACAGATATATAAACCCATTGTCCTAATTCCAACAGACCTCACTACCTCTGAGGATGCTTGCCATAGATGCAGGCGAAACGTCAGGAGAGAATGCCTCTAGAACATGGCCCTATAGCCCGAAAAAACCCAGAAGAACCTACTGATTCCAGCCATGAAAGCCTTCCACAATACAACCAGGCACATCTTAATGATACATCACACAGTCCTAAACACTTGGGAAGTGTCCGACGTGTGATCCAATACAACAGCCAGCAGAGTGTCTGCTGTGGACTCATCTTGTGGTGTTTCTAATAATAATAATAATAATAATAATAATAATAATAATAATAACATGCTCCTCTGCCCATGAGCAAAATGAGTCTTTATTGATCCTGGGAAGTATTGGCCACCCAGCAAAGCAATCCTACAGAGAAGAAAGCCCCTCCACTGCCCCCCTCCTGGCTTGCAGTAAGGCCATAAAGGGATGACCTCTGGGGTCAGCCAAGGACAGCACTGGGCAATCAATACAGCACGCACACTTCTGCGCATACCTCTGCTACCCTTTGTTCTTTCCCTCCCCTTTCTGATGGGAAATCCTCACTTGGGTTCATGGCAAGGGGACCCAAAGACCATCCAGTCTGAACTCATTCTTCAGGCAGGAAGGCACCACCCAAGCCCTCCAGATAGATGGCCATCTAGCCTCAGCTTAAAGACCTCTGGAGAAGGGAATCCCACAAGTTTGTCAAACAGCTCTAACTGCCATGAGTTTCACAGAATCATAGGATCCTAGAGTTGGAAGAGACCTCCTGGGCCATCCAGTCCAACCCCATTCTGCCAAGAAGCAGGAATATTGCATTCAAATCACCCCTGACAGATGGCCATCCAGCCTCTGTTTAAAAGCTTCCAAAGAAGGAGCCTCCACCACCCTCTGGGGCAGAGAGTTCCACTGCTGAACGGCTCTCACAGTCAGGAAGTTCTTCCTCATGTTCAGATGGAATCTCCTAGAATCATAGAATCAAAGAGTTGGAAGAGACCTCATGGGCCATCCAGTCCAACCCCATTCTGCCAAGAAGCAGGAATATTGCATTCAAATCACCCCTGACAGATGGCCATCCAGCCTCTGTTGAAAAGCTTCCAAAGAAGGAGCCTCCACCACACTCTGGGGCAGAGAGTTCCACTGCTGAACGGCTCTCACAGTCAGGAAGTTCTTCCTCAAGTTCAGATGGAATCTCCTAGAATCATAGAATCATAGGATCCTAGAGTTGGAAGAGACCTCATGGGCCATCCAGTCCAACCCCCTGCCAAGAAGCAGGAATATTGCATTCAAAGCACCCCTGACAGATGGCCATCCAGCCTCTGTTTAAAAGCTTCCAAAGAAGGAGCCTCCACCACACTCTGGGGCAGAGAGTTCCACTGCTGAACGGCTCTCACAGTCAGGAAGTTCTTCCTCATGTTCAGATGGAATCTCCTAGAATCATAGAATCAAAGAGTTGGAAGAGACCTCATGGGCCATCCAGTCCAACCCCTTCTGCCAAGAAGCAGGAATATTGCATTCAAATCACCCCTGACAGATGGCCATCCAGCCTCTGTTTAAAAGCTTCCAAAGAAGGAGCCTCCACCACACTCCGGGGCAGAGAGTTCCACTGCTGAACGGCTCTCACAGTCAGGAAGTTCTTCCTCAAGTTCAGATGGAATCTCCTCTCTTTCTATGTAATGTATTGATATTTTGATGCCTATGTTAATGATGTTAATGACTTGTGATGCTTCTGTATTTTAAATGCATAATGATGTTGTATCCTGTATACCTAAATTGTTGTAAACCGCTCTGAGTCGCCCAAGGGCTGAGAAGAGCGGTATACAAATAAAGTAAATAAACAAATAAATAAATGTCTCTATGTCTCTTTTCTTGCCATCTGAACCTATGGCTCTGTTGACCTCCAGAGAAGGGGGTCCCACCAGTGTTCGAGGCAGCCATGTCAAACAGCTCTTAAAGCCATGAGTTTCTATCTAATGTTTATTTTCCTGCCATTTGAACCCATGGCTTTGTTGCGCTCTAGTCTGCGGAGCAGCAGAAACCAAGCTCAACGTGACATCCTTTCCAATATATAAA